GCGATTTTCCATTAACTTTCAAAAAGCACAAAATTGGATTTCACAAAACGTTTGGTTTTTAAAAACTAGGTCAATTTTAACGAGAGACCGAGGGCGCCCAAAGAAGCTGCAAAACGCACGGATGACCGGGTGTGTCCAATAGCTCGTGAAATCCGCCGACTCTGGGGTATCTCACAGCTCAATTGCGCCACTACACAAGGTCATGACTCGATAAAAAATTCAAAACCCTCCCGAATCTTCTTCTAAAATCACGGCCAATGGGTTTCGAGGGGTGAGAATGATTCTACTCAATAGTCGGGGCGAATGTCTCCCTAAAAACTCATCATGAAGATCCCCTTATCTGAATAGCGCCCTAAATTATGCAAACGAACAAATTGCGTTGGTAAAAATTCTCTCTATATTTTAAGATTGAGTAATCCCTGAAAAATCTCGTATCTAATGAAATTAATTTTATGATTTTTTATGAGTCAACATGTCAGCTCTCGTTATCGAAATTTTATGGTAGAGTAATTCCTGATGAATCTCGTGCCACGAAAATCCGAACGGAAGTTGCGCAGTCAAGCACTGCGCACGAAGGGAATACGACAGCCTCAGTCATGTGTTGAGGTGCCCTCGCTATTGCTACAATGACCCACTGCCAATTGAAATATCTCGAAAACTATTCACAAGTCATCGACACATCCAGTGTGACAAATGTATGGAATTTCATACAGAATAAAATGGTTTCAAAATCACATCTCTACGACGCGTAGCTCCCAGGATGTGGACGTTTGTGGATAGGAGTGCCTCGCGGTGCCGCGCTCTCTCAGAGACGAAAGTTCTTGAGCTGCTCACTCAAACAAATGGCAACGGCTCGAGAATCGTGAGCCGTAGAGACATGAGTGAAAAACCATTTTATTAGTCACAAAAATCCCCAGATTTTCACGCGGCATGTCTCGATGACTTTCCAACGGTCATCGAGACATCTCAAGCGAGCGTCGCACATTTCTGTCAACAAAATGTCTCATGTCCACACATCCACCGCTCATAAAAAATTCCGATTATCAAAATGATTTTATTAGGAATTTAATAATGATAAAAAGTGAAGAGAAGCTCATATCTCCACCGCACATCCTCGTCCCCCACTTATTCAGCATGATCGGGAGCGGCGTAGATGTGACGTCACGAGTGACGTCACGCCAATCGTTACCATGGAGACGGGGCTGCAAATCCCGGAACGACACCCAGTGAGGAGTAGCACGCGCCGTGCCCGGGACATCCCGGCTGAAACTGCCCCCTCCCCCCGGCCTAACTCCACCGTCCTATTAACTACCAGCCCCCCCCCCCCCCCCCCCCCCCC